CAGGAGAGGAGCCTGAGAACTAAAAGATCTGCCTCCCATTCTACTTTTAGAAATTCTAGGAACCACTAGTAAACCTGCAGATTGAGAGCGAAGTGCGAAGTGTGGATTTAAAGTGAAGAAAATGTGATATGAGGAATGAAAAAGTACAATTTGTGATAGAATAGAAATAAAATAAAGAAAGAAATCAACACAAAAAAGTGACAAATATTTTAAAAATGAAATCTGAGATCATTATTTTTTTTTTTCCTCAAAAGTTTTTTTTCTCAGAACTTTTTCTTAATTAAAAAATTTTTTGTTTTCTGTGTTTTCAAATTCCATTTAACAAAATGTGTTCTTTGTTACAATAATGAGACAAATTTCACTCCATAGGTGTGTATTGTCAGCAGGACCTCCTCGGGCTGCAGGAGGTTTTTTAGTCTGATTTCAGCTAAAACTTCATCATCATCATCATCATCATCATCATCATCATCTGGGTGTCCGTTGGTAGACCGCCTCGTGTTACCTTCGTCCTCCTCATCATCAGCTTCATATTGGCGTTATTGAATCATTTGGCACCGGGGGGCAGCTTCTGATTTAATTAGTGACCTAGATAAAGTTGATGTAATTAGTGTTTGTCATATTCGCGGCTCTAACATCCTGCCGTGGGATCAGCGCGCGGACGCGGCCCGTCAATAACCAATCATCTGCAGCCGTCGGTGTTTCATATCAGAAACAAACGGCCGGGCCGTCCTGCAGCTTCACCACAGGCTCTTATCCTCCATCGATCTCTGTGGGTCATGATAAGCTGTTATTGGCAGCTGTGGACGTGGTGTTCCTGTCAGAACCATCATCTGACCCATATTTAATGTCATTCAGGGTCGCCGCACAGAACCTAAAACCCTGGAACCGACTTAGAGTCGATGTTTATTCATATTTAGATCCGTTTGTGAGGAAGGAGGAGGAGCAGAGTTTGGGAAGGCCTTCGTTCTCCAGATGTTTCTCTCTGGAGTTGGTTCCAGTATCCTAGTTCTCCTGAGAGGCGGCGGGACGGAGCCGCAGGTGGAGATCAGAGCTCCTCTCTGGTCCGTGGTGATGAAGGAGAAGAAGCTGAAGGGGAAAGTTCTGGGTTTACTGCTCCTCCTTTGGTTTCCCTCATGTTCTGATTGGTTCAGAGCCATTAATGGATATCTAGACGTCCCGGTTCGTCCCGGTTCCTTTTAGGGGTGAGCCAGTCCTGGCCTTCCTCCATCGGCTGGCTGTTAGTCCATTTAAAGGTTCTTTTATTTGTTTTTAAGACTTTAAATGGTTCTGCCCCTCCCTACCTGACGTGACCCGTCTCTCCCTGTGTTTCCTGGCAGTGTGGCAACATGGCCAGAGAAGGCCTGCGGACCCTGGTGGTGGCCAAGAAGGGCCTGTCTGAGGAGCAGTACCAGGACTTTGAGGTGAGGACCGATGCATGGCTTCACGTTCTGCCCGTTCAAAGCGAGGAAACCTCAGCGTTACACAGCAGGAAGCCTTTTTTAACTGCTCTACAGTGAATCAAATAAGCATGAATTCAATGAGTCTATAAATAAACTACTGAGTCCTCGCTTGGCTTTAGCTCCTCGCTTTGACTTTATTTATGTTCTAAAAATTCACCGTTAATTTTTATTAAACATTCCCTGGATAAAGGTGCCGTGGTTGGAGCTGTAAACCAAAAAATATTATTAACTAAACTAAGCAAATTTAACTTCTCCTCAGATGCGATTAAATGGATAGAATCATATCTTTCAAATCGCTCACAGTCAGTCAGGATCAGTGATTCTCTCTCAGCGCCTCTCGTCATGTCCACAGGGGTACCTCAAGGTTCTATGTTGGGCCCTCTGCTATTTTCTCTTTTTATAAATTTCTACAAATTCACTGTGAATCTTTGAATCCTGAGGTTACGAGTTCGATTCCCCACTCCCACCGACTGCCACTCTGGCTCCCTGAGCAAGACCCTTAACCCCACACTGCTCCCCGGGCGCCGCACAATGGCAGCCCCCAAGGGGAGGGGTTAAATGCAGAGAGTTCCTTTTTGTTGCTCTGTACTTGTGACAGTGGAATGACAATATAGTTTAATTCTATTCTATTCTGTGATGCATTTTTTAATGGCTGTTTGAGAACCAGAGAAAGGTGAAGTTTCCCGATGGTTTCTATTTAGTTCTTTAAGAAAATTATTATTTCGTCCATTAATTCAGTGAAATAAATCTAACTTATAGATCTTACAGAAAGGATCCATCGCCACCTTCTGGCTGCTGGGAGTCTGAAGGCTTTATTCAGGCGTGGAAACAATCAGATGAATCATCATTATTAAAATAATCAACTAACTGGAGTAAAACGCTTCTAAAAACTCCTGAAGACAAACAGAAATAGATCCGGTTCATATAAAACACTAAGAAGCTTAGTGAGTATGATCTATCCAGGAAAGGTCCGATCAGCAGGAATAATCAATGGATCATTATTTATAACTGAAACTAATACGTTTGCGGTGATTTAATGAATTTAGCGTTAATCAGTAAAATATAAAACATTAATTTTCGTCACGATCACTGAGTCTGGGAGCGGCCATTCATCTCATCTGGGTAATAGGAGATCTATGGAGAAAAATTTGTTCCAGTATTATTGAAAGGAAAGAGTGCTTTTCAGAAAAGGACATGAGAAGATAAGAGTTTAAAAAATGAAACTTTACAAAAGTTAAACCTGTATTATGACATTTTTTTACTGATTTTTTCCCAAACAAATTTTGGAAAATAGAATCTAAAAAAATACCAAACTACAAGCTGCTGATTTCCTCAGCTTTCCTCCCGTTTGGTTCAGAACCAGACCCGTGACCCGTGGACTGATTTCTCCTGCAGAATCGGTACAACCAGGCCAAGCTGAGCATCCATGACCGGGCGCTGAAGGTGGCGGCGGTGGTGGAAAGCCTGGAGCGGGAGATGGAGCTGCTGTGTCTGACCGGAGTGGAGGACCAGCTGCAGGCCGACGTCAGGCCCACGCTGGAGCTGCTGAGGAACGCCGGCATCAAGGTCGGTGCGGGAATCGCATCCCCGTCTGACGCTCCGACCTCTCCTCATCACCTTCCGCTTCTCCTCAGATCTGGATGCTGACGGGAGACAAGCTGGAGACGGCGACGTGCATCGCCAAAAGCTCCCATCTGGTTTCCAGGAACCAGGACATCCACGTCTTCAAGCCGGTGCGTAACGCTCCCACTCAGAGATCAGCCGCGCCTCTCGGCTCGTGTCTAATTGGGCTTCGCTGCTCTTGAGCAGGTCTCCACCCGAGGAGAGGCCCATCTGGAGCTGAACGCCTTCAGGAGGAAGCATGACTGCGCACTGGTCATCTCCGGAGACTCTTTAGAGGTACTAGAGCGCCGCTGCAGCCACAGAAACACTGTGGAGCTTTGTCACGCGTTCAAAACCTCTCAGAAGTTCTTGTTTCTCCGTTTCTGCAGGTCTGCTTGAGGTATTATGAGCACGAGTTTGTAGAGCTGGCCTGTCAGTGTCCGGCGGTGGTCTGCTGTCGATGTTCTCCCACTCAGAAGGCCCAGATCGTCCACCTCCTCCAGCAGCACACGGCCAACAGAACCTGCGCAATAGGTGGGCTTCAGAACCGGGGTCGGTTTCTCCAAACGGTCCGACCTTCCTGGAGTTTCTGTTCTAACGCTGCTGCAGAGAAACGGGTTTATTTCAGGGTTTTAACGTCTTTATTGGACGGAGAAGCTGCTGCTGTAGTTTAACCTTATGGGGAGAAATTTGGTCCAATATTACTGAAAGCAAAGAATACATTTCAAACAGGAAAAAAAGGAAATGAATAAAAATATGATTAGAGAGTAATTTATGTTTTATGTACAACAACCAGTAAGGTTTGCTATTTTATCTTTTTTTTTGTTGGTTTCTAAAAAAAAAAAATTATTTCAAATTTTGTTTAGATTTTTTTTCCTGTATTTTATTTTTCTTTGAAGATTTCTTTTTAATTCAGATTTTATTTCAAAATTTTATTTTTCAGAGTTTTTATTTTATTACGTTTGAATTTTTTTTCCACTTTTCAGATTTTTTTAAGAATTTTTTTTTTTTTTTTTTGAAATATTTATTAAGGTTATTTTTATTTTTCTGAGGTGACTGTGCTTTAAGGATTACATTCTAAA